GGAGTTTCATGGCATTTGGACTCCATCTGATATTGATTTTCTGCGATGTAAAAAACATGGAAAAACAGCAACTGGCACTTGGCACTATGGCAATAGGTTAGTATCAAAAAATGATATAAAATGACTATAAAATGATTATAAAACATCCAAGATTGATAATAAAACAGCATGGAACAATCAAAAATTATAGATGCGTTGGAGACGTATCAAAGTTCCGGAGTTGTGTTCAATCTGGCCATGGGCACCCGCACAAAGCATAATGAGATCGTTGAGGAGCTAGACATTCTGCGTGATGAGGTGACAATGCTGGGGCTCAAGGGGAATAAAATCTAAGACCAAATTGATGAAGTCAATACTCGGTTGAGCAAGGTCGAATCGCATGAGGTACAATTTGGCAAGCTGGAGGTAATCATGGAGAAAAATTCCGAGGTTCAGACAAAAATGTTCTGACACTATAAAACATGTCATCTCTTGTGATGAAAATTGTTGTGATGGGAAAAGAACCATCATCTAAGACCATTTTCTATGACGGTGACCATCACAAGCTGGTGGCCACCCGTAGCAGCCTCCCCCGACATGTTTTGTGATGATTCGATCTGATATTATGTGACGCCGGTTAAGTGTCACAAGTCATGTGCATATTCAGTTTGTTATGAGTGTCATACAAAAATGTTGGACGCGTTAGTGAAAGAAATACAAATAGAAAAATTACAGATTATTTTTGCAGCTGAATTATTTTGTGGTATGTTCTTTGTTAATAGAAATTGCACTGAATAGAGAGCATCCAGTTCCCTCATAAACAAAGGAATTGAGAACATCAGTATGATGATGTAAGGTTGTGCTCGACTACCACGTTGCATAGAATAAGGATTGTGCGGTTCCCTCGTAGACAAGGGAATTGGAAACAATGGTACTGCGACACAGGGTTGTGCTCGACTACCACATCACCGACAATGCAAGGTGAGAGGGCATCATGGTGAGGCGACGTGCGTCTGCTGCACATTGAAGTGATGTGTAATTGTGGGACAGTGAAGTAAGGGTGATTTTAAGTGAGATCTAGTTATTATGAGACATTCTAGCGAGATTGATTCGGTTTTCTCAATTAGGTGATGAAAATTATTATGCAATTTCATGTTTTGCAGGAAATGGGTCAAAAAAGGATAACTGGTTCAATCTAGATGACCCTGGAATACTCAAAAGGTGTTAAGTAGTTTATGCAATTCACGATTGATCACAAGAATGAAGGTGAAAATATGTTGTGCCCATGAAGTATGTGTAATAATTTGCTATGACATGACATGATACAGACCTTGTTGATAGTCACATACACATCAATTTATGTCCATCACCTATATAAGGTGGGTCTATCATGGGGAAGTTTTGAGCAATGGTGAAAGTCATAGTACCGATCATGCTGGTTATGTAATTTTTCTTTTCTTTTGAAAACCTATCTAATATTTTTTTTCCTTCACGTAGTATGGTGCAACATAATAATTGTGTATTAGTATCTTTTATGAAACAAGTCATCATGGTTACATAGGAAAGCCTTGTTCATATCGAGGCTTTGTTTGGGAATCAAGGAAATCCGTACGAAATTTGAGAGATGATCATATGTAATAATTCATTTTTTAGCAAAAATGAAAATTTGACACAATCATGTGGATTAAATCTTTGAATTTAATGCGAAGACTAGTCTCGTCCCATGACCTAACTTTCTTGAATCATACACCCATGCAATCATTCGCCGGTCAACCATATGTATATCTGAATCGTAATGTTTGTGTTGTGCATTGAATTGATGTGCACATAGAAAAAATATCGAGTGGAGAAATATATATGCAATATGTGCCATTTATAGATTATTTAGAACATCCTTTAGAAGATAGACAAGATCAAGACTCTGCTGTCAGTGTTTGACCTTCTACACTATCACATGGCAAGTCAAAATAGTGAGCGTAATATCATGACTTATAGTAAGATACGCTTTGATTATATAGCACTTAATGGATCATATATGTGATGTAGGTATATATATTTTGGGTGAGGCATTATTAGTACAATTTAAATATGCATTCATTGTCCACCGAAACTATACTGACAATAAATTAGATATGAAATTGCTAGTATCGATATGTCATAAATCGGATATAATATTTCATATAGAAGATACATGTCACTAGCATTTATACTCTTTTAATCATGTTTTACCATTAGAACAATATTTGCTATATGGTGATGCTATAAATATCATACCCTCCGCATCACCCTCTCCATACAAACACTCTTTCGGTATCATACCTCTGATAGTTTTATCCAACTCTCATAAGTTTTCCCCGAAAAAAGCCTCAAATTTCCTCCATGAATCAAAGAGTCAACCAGGAGTGGAACCCCTCTGAGGTAGAGGGGGAAAGATCAATCATTGATCGTCTCAACAACTACTACAACAATGATGGCACCAACCATGAGAAGATCAAGAAGCATGATATCGTGGCCAATCTCAAAGCATGGTTCCCTAGGAAGACCATGCAACAGGTAACAGACTTGTATGATGATCTTGTTATGGAGATGCATATGTTGCAGTGTCCAGAGAAGGAGTACAATGGTACCAATAGTGACCATGGTGCCATTTACACTGTGGATGGCCTTGTGAATAAAAACTTTGGATTGCAAAAGGAGGTTGCCATGGAAGGAATGGGTATTTTGTTTGGTCGTCCACTGGAGACTATGCAAACCATGGAGATACAAGAAGAGGTGCATATGGTGGAGGAGAAAAAGGTGCTGTTGGAGAATAAGATTTGCATCCCTCAACCAGTGCTTGCACCACGTGCCAAGGGGTATTGGACCCCAGAGGAACACAGGTTATTCATCTTTCATCCTTCCTAATTTTCCATGGCATTTAAAAAATTATTTCATTTTGATTATTCACTTGGAGATGTCGGGTGTATTTTATTTTAATAGAAAGCATACTATTGACCATTATGTGGGTTTTCATTATCATGAATTGGAGGTTTGTTTTTTATTTTTACGTAGAAACAATAGTACCAAGATGTATTATTTTGTTTGTGAACAACCGACTTTATTTCATTATTGTGTTTCCAGTATAAATTAATACCACCCACGCTTGTCCTTGCAACTAAAGATGGAGTAGTTAATTATATATTCATAGTAAAGAATGAAACTACTATTGCAAGTATTATCATGGTCTTTTTATATCTATTATCAATATATGACCATGGCAGTTATGAAATTCCTTTTCATTTATAATCATCTATTATCACATATTATGTTATTAACATCGTAAAAGATAACAAAGATGTCCTTTACTAGCACAAGGGTTAATATTTGGTTACAACTTTTAATACTCCAACTATTGCATTTTTTTCACCAATATATTAATAATCAATATGTCCTTGAAAAAATTAACCTAACTAGTTCATCTTGAACATGGTTATTCTAGGCTCTTTCTCCATGGGTTGAGTTCATGTGGTCGTGGAAAATGGAAGGACATATCAAAGTACTTCGTCACTAGTAGGACTCCAGCCCAGATTTCGAGCCATGCACAGAAGTACTTCATGAGGCTACAGAGCAAACGGTCAGGAAGCCAACGCTATAGCATCAACGACGTGGAGCTCGATGATGCTGACCCATGGAAAATCAAAAATAGCTTTAATTTCTGGGAAGCACTCGCCTTGCAATCTACAATTGGTGCTGATAACCAAAATCCAAGTTTTGGTTTCCAAACTCCTTCGAGTCCATTTGTCACCATGAACAATATATTCTAGTTTGGAGTTGTCTTTCGTGAAGAAAAGGAGTTAGTAGTAGTATGTTGTGAGAATGATATGATGTTGTCATCGTAGTAGGGGCTAGTGAACTTTGTTCCTACTAGTATACAAGTATTACTTAAACTTCCTTCAAAGTATTGTATGGCATACCATGTATAAGATGCTATGATTTAAATTATATTTAAATGTGTGTTTGGAGAGTCAACAAAATGTGTTGTTACTATTTACTATGGTTGTTGTATAAACATTGCAACTGAAATTGATGTGGTATTGGTATGAACATACCATTTTTCTCTAGGTGGGTCCTACATGTAAGGAGGTGTGACGTGACAACGCTAATAGGCTTGTCAAGAAGGTGAAAACCAGCCTCATTAGTGAAAACTAGTGTCAACCAAGCTTGGGATTGATTCTTGAACGGATTGACAAGTTGGATGTGTGCATTAACTAGTTTTGTAGTTTATCGTTGAGAGCAAAGTGGTAAGTTGAGTATTGAAAATTGAACTAATATCAATTGGAAACGTTTATCTGAACTACATATACTGAATATACGTGTTCATTTTTTCTAAAGAACATATATAGTTGTTCCAACTCCATGGAGGCTTGAAGAAAAAAATGAAGGCTAAAGAGAAGCTTTATTTTGGAGACGAAGCGGGCATTTTCCATATTACACTTTAGTACATGATTCAATTCCATTGGACCGTAGAGTGTAAACACAATAGAATCTTGGAATGCGGTTACAGAGGCCAACTGTATCCCTAGAGCCAGCGAGAAGTTTGCGCTTGAGAAGCAAGCCTTCGGAAGAAAAAAATAGCCGATCACTTCTTAAGTTCTTATTGGTCTTTAGAGAAATTATAAGATCAATCTAAGGTTGAAAAACAAACTCACCAACACCACAAATGGTTTTTTTATTTGGATCTTCAGATAGAATGTAGGGTGGTAGCCGAATTTTCACTACTTTAGATACAAAATTCCTACACTCCATGATTTATGCATGACTTCTGTAGAAACTAGGAACGGTCAATTTTTTTCCAAGATCTCACCAAACGTACACCATCAAAGATAGTAGGGTAGTTGGAATAGAAACCCGAAAAACAATGTTTACAATGTATACAAAAGCAACACAATGTGTAGCCTATGCTGTCAGCTTACACACAACTTTGCCAAAAAGCCTTTTTCATTTTTAGGCAATAGTCCTATAGTGTCTAAGACATCAAAATGCATGCACACCAGATGCCATGGGTTCTAGCATTACCATCTCGGCCAAGGTCTTAACTTGAACAAACAGAATAAGCCCCTTTGGTGTGTCCAAAATCTCATACCGAAAATGATACCAACTAAAGATTGAAGGAACATGAAGTCTTGCAAAAAAATGTATAATAGAAATTTTTGCTTCCTCCACCTTTATCGTTATTGAGAACACAAAGTGGCGGATGAGATAAGCACCTGAAGAATGTATTACATGCTCTAGAGATCTTGATTTGTCTAAATCTAATTGTACGAGCATCATGGTGGCACTAGAAGCAACATCACACCACACATACACAAATGGAGCCGAGAGAATCTTATTGTGTCACTGCCACAATTACAATGTGTCAGACATTCCAACTAAGCAACAAGTTGAACATGGATGGTGGTTTCAACTCCGAAGCTAGCACAGGAGGTGCACGGACGGAGGCAGGAATCTTACAGAAGGGTTCCAGTGGGAAAGTGAAATATTGAGAGGGAAGCAATGTTTTCGGGAAAAAGTTTGCCATGGGGGGAGGGGGAGCCATGGCCCCAACTCGCCCCCGCAGGCTCCGTCCTTGGGGGAGGAGCCAACATGATCCCCAGGGATGACAGCGGCTCAATTATACTCTCCTCTTGCAAACATCTGCATAATTGCAACAGTCCTTTGGAAGCTGAACTTTTGGCATGCATAGAAGGAATTAGCCTTGCTCGGGAATGGTGTCTGAGCACTCATCATTGAGACCAATTCTGAACTAGCGACCAACTGTCATGAGATGAGAGCCAGATCAATCGGCCAATGCAGCGATTGTTAAGGAGATTAAACACCTACTCTAGAGGGATAATCAACATGTCATCTCCATGATCCGTCGATCAGGAACTGCGTGGCGCATCGCCTCACTCATCTAGGGCTTCTTTTAAAAAAAGAAAAAGAAATGAAAGGTTTGTTCTCTCAAAAAAAGTGAAACACCAAAGAATTGAACCACTAAGAATTTAAGTAAAAAAATTGAAATGTAAAGTTGAGTAATTAACACTGAAGAAATCAAAGTGAAACACTAAAAAGTGAGACACCACCAGCAGGCGTCGTGTTGTCATTCAGCACAACACATGCAGCATTGCGAGCAGAGAACAACGCATAGCACAACTAAAACGTGGGTGAATCTCATGGTAGACCAACACTTCCTTCCAAGCGCTAGCGAGCAACAGAAAACAGCAAATCCTCGCAGTCTCGCTGATCAGATGGTGGTTCGCTCGCCTCCTCGGCGCTGTCGTGCTGCCTCGGTCCCCTCGCGCCAGCCGGTCATGGCAGCATACGTGTGCTCGCTAGAACAATGCAACAAGGGAGTAGTGTCATCAGCCGCTTTGTGGCTGCAACGATGTGCTGGGGCAGCGTGGATTTGCTGACCACGGAGAGGCTCGCTGATGAAGGGAAGGAGAGGTGCTGCCGACCACGGCCGCCGCCACGGCACGTCTGTTCGGGGAAAGGATGGAACCCGTGAGGGCCTGTGCGGGAGGAATACAGAGAGGCTCGGAAGTGTTGGCCATGCCGAGGAAACGGCCCGTAGGCCGATAGTCCTTATTAAAATCTCTAAAAAGACATATAATTAGGAACGAAGGGAGTGGATTTCTATGAATCTATTTTATGAATTCATAATGCGGAGGCACCAACTATTTGGTCACATACACAAGCACAGGATGATGATGATCAAGATGTGGTTTACTCATAAAGAATACGTGGTTAGTTTTTCTTTACAACAGTGTTGTTAATTCCAAGTTCCTCTAATGCAAAATTTTACTAGCTCGTATCTATGAAGAACCACTAGCATAAACTTGGATGGAGATGATTGATCTTTCTTTGAGAGGAGTTCTCACAGAACAGATTTGCACGCTCAGCAAGATGTCGAGATCGCGAGATGGCACATGCAAAAAGTATAAAATTAATTTATTGTTGAAAAACAAAGTCAACTTCTTTCTAGAAAAGGACGATATCCCTTGGTCTCTGCATCAATCATTGAAGACAAACACGACTAAGGCAATGAATAATTTTTCTTTCTTTCATTATGATGGAATGTAGGGGCAGCGGTCCAATTTCTACTCTGGGTATAAACTTTTCTTTTCGGACCAGGTACACACTTCGTGCGTTCACTATTGTCATGTCTAAGGACATTTTCGGAGCAGACCCTCAATTCGCCCGCAAATGTCTGGACTGAGTTGTCCGGGCGTGGTTTTCCATATAACGGCATCCAGCATCGGACCATGGACCACTCCGCATGTTCATTTTCTCGTAAATCAGAAGCAAACTAGGGGGACTTGGTGGGAGTCTGGACCTCCATCATGTAGGACTCCGATACCCCCAGCCCACCCAAAACCACACTCGGACCCCGTGTCTCCATCCCTTTCCCATTTCTCTACATCCGCTTCACCCCTGGACGCCGTCACCACTCTACCAAGCCACCCGCCTGCCAAGCCCTGGCATGACCTCTGTGACTCCACACCTTCGGCACATAGCTTTGCCTACGCCATCGTTCCACACCTATTGTTCGTCCGTCACGCATGTACCGTCCTCCCTACAAATGTCGTCAGTGGGGGTCACCATGCCCCACAAGTGTGTGGTGAGATGCCCGTGCTAAATTTTCAATATTTTTCTCCCTTCGAAGCAATGGATCAGACATGGAGTACATCGCGAGCACTATGTTGAGTCATCCAATGAATGTCCGACAAGGAGGATTATGCGGATGAAATGGCGATGATGCAAGCGGTCCTTGTAGACATGGGGCATGCAGAAGCTTGTTTGAGTGCATTTGGATAGGGCATTTGAAGTGCTCCAAGCCCATTTTGTTGTTGTTTGTGGACCTGGTAAACAATGGGATTTAGAGACCTGGTGGGAGGTAATGACATGTTGTGTGATCATGCACAACATGATCATGAAGGGTGAGGGTGAAGATGGTGTCGGGGATTTGGAATTTGAGAACATGGGTTATGCAACTTCAAAATTAGAATCCTGTCACATTTGATGAGTTTGTCCAAATGCGTCAACAGATTCGGCATCGACCAACTCATGAGTAGCTTAAGGAAGATCTGATTGAGCACCTATGGACGTTAAAAGAGACAACTAGAACATATATGCGAGTTGAATTCATGTCTGAACTATTTTACATTTGACGCACTTGAATATTTTCAATCATCGAAGATTTGACATGCAATTATTTTGAGTATTGTGGATCGAGAAAAAAAACAGGGACATATGTTTAGGGGACGGTGTTGGATGGCTGGCTCCTCTATCCACATCCGTGGGGTAAATAGTGTGTCCATTTCTAGGGCCGGCGTTGGATATCCTAAAACCTCACCAAGCGCCCACCCTTGAGGATGGGATAATGATGACAACGTATATCATGATGATCCTACATGTTGATTATGATGTTAGCTGATATCACAGTTTTTGCTAGCATCTCGCCCTGGGTCTTAACTCGAAACATGCATGAAAAGCACCTCTGACACGTCAGAAATTCAGATGAAGATGATGCCAACTTAAGATTGAAGACGCATAAAGCCTTCGAGAGAAGGACATATCAGCATATACTCCCTCCCCTTCGTTTCAATGGGCCCAACTCCAAAAACTCGTGTACCATTGTAGATTTTTTCTAGGGAAAATGGGATTCGAACCGACCACCTATAATCATGTAGTCCCTCCGATACATATTAATTGTCGCTGACTCTATTATTTTTCATATTATTTATTTCCCATTTGATAAGAAAATCAAAACTGAATTGAAGGT